TCTATGATCAGGTCACCAAGAATGATATTTGATGCTCCTCTTCTGCTCCCAGTGCCAACATACTCCAACATCAAACCACAACTGTCATCATTTCTATCCTCAAAAACTCTGCAAGTCCATTTACTTCTTTCTCCCACCACCACCACCACCTCATTGTTAAAACATACCCTGCAGCACATTCCCTGATGCCTTCTCTTTCTACCTGGCCCCTTAAATCCATGTGTCACACAGAAAATCCGTTATTTAAAAAATACATAGCTCTTTGCTGGTCAATCCCTTTGTGGTTCATTATTGCATTTAGACCTAAGTCCAAATGCAAAAATTCTCTATAGTTTTGGACTTTTGCTGATGTCTCCTGACCTTTCCATCACTATCAGGAACCACTCTTCCCGTCCTTCTGTGTGTGGGTCACTCACGGCTCTTTCCCGCCTCTGGGTTGTGTTACGCTGTTCCCTCTGCCCAGAGGTAATTCTCCCTGTACTTCAGAGATCTGTGTGTTTCTTATCTTTCAGGGCTTATCCCCCAAAGAAACCTTTTCTTATAATTCAGCATAAATGGTTTTGTCCTAGAACTTATCTCTATATGTAAAAATACTCCTAAGGCATAGATTCTATTGTTGGGTATGTTCATTACAGGTTCCCAAACATCCAATAACTTTCCTTGTATAGGGAGGGCACACAATAAATGTTTATTGAATGGATAAATCAATCCATCAAGAGCTCAAAAACAGATGTTTACTGTTTACTAATTCCTAGATCCACCCACTCCTGAAAATGGATACCTTCCCATTGTGACTGGGATCTTGGCCATCATTGTCTTACTTCTCCTCGTTCCCTTTTGCCAGTGTTGGCATCGGGACAGAACGGCATGTTCTGAAGGTGGGAGGGTTAACCTGAGAGGCCTGGTGGATCCCCTGCCACGACTCTGATTACTGACTCTCCTTAGGGAACATTGATGGTGAGACCAAGAACCAGGTGAAGTATAAGAGGTAGGAAAATTTGGACTCCCCCAGTAGAAAACCTTCTGCCTTATTTCTCAGACTTGCCTTAATGCTTCTATCTTCTCTTTTTCAGCTCCTTCCCAGTCATGGACTTCCAGGAAGAAAATCGATGTAAGGGGGAGTGAGAAGGAGGGGTGGGGAAAGGATGTGTTTGGGAAAGATAGAAGGCATCCTGGAAGAAGACGACAAGGTGGGGGCATCACCTTACTGGACGTGACATCACTGCCCTTCCCTATTTCAGTCAACCATCTCTAAAACACATATATATGTAATATTATATATTACATATATTTTATATATATATATTATATATATATAATAGGAATGTATAGTTTTGTTTTGTTTTTTTAAGGACTGGATAGTTTTAAGGCTCTTTCTGGAAGCTTACCCCTATATATTTCCTTGTAGATGATGTCTTGGAGGACATCCAGCCTGAGAAGAACAGACAGACAGACATGCAGGTGAGCCTCTCCTTACCTACCTCCTCTCCTGCCCCAGTCACCTTCTACAGGTGCTCTCTTTTCACTTTGTACCTCCATGCTGACAGGTCTCCATAGAGGAAGACCCTCAGGAGGTGAACTATGATCAGCTACACTAGAAAACCCGTAGGGGGAACATGGATACTCTACTCTCCCACAACCATGAGGATTCCTCTGGCCAGCCCTGTGTGTATGCCACTGTCGTCTTGTCCTGAGTGTAGAGCCAGGACTGGCTGTGTAGACTCCAGTGTTGAAGCACTCCTTAAGGAAGGTCAGGTCCGTGGTGTGTCCTACTCATGTTACTCAACACCAGCCATCACCTTGAAGCTCCCCAAAGACTGAAGACTGGTGTCAATTTGTCAACTATCAAGAAATTCTGGGCCCCATCAAATATCTCTCAACAGATTCCTGGTCCCTTGTATATTTACCCATTTAGTTGCCTATTCAAGAAATGTTTACAGACGTGAGCTCCTTCCTTGGATCTGTGCTGGGGATTTGCATATTACAAAGATACAGCTTTAGTCTCAAGGACTCATGATCTACTGAGTGAGGCAAGCCCATGATCTGACCCTTGGAAAGCAAAAGGGGTGACCCGCAGGACCAGGTGTAAGGATGCTTTGGGTCACTGAGCAGCACAATGTCCAGGGATGTTTAAAGAGCACTTATTGGTGTCAAATACAAGAAGTCAAGCAATAAGAGTCAGTTTGGGCACAGAGGGCATTCTTAATGGCATTTGGTACAATGTTCTAGGTGTCGCTGAGAGTCGAAGCCTTCAAAATACTGAAAGTGAATAAGGAAGCTTTTTTGTGAGGGAACCAAAAAGAATTTGACCACAGGAGGGATGGGTTCCTCCTGGGGAGGGGAATGGTGCAGAGGGCGTTTGGAGGGGGGTTTATGGTTTCCGCCTGGTTTTGACGAATTTCTCCTTTTCAGTTATCCCATTAAAATAAATAGAACATAGTTTTCGGGGCACCTGGGTGGCTCAGTCGGTTAAGCATCCGACTTCAGCTCAGGTCATGATCTCGCAGTTCATGAGTTCAAGCCCCACATCAGGCTCTGTGCTGATAGCTCAGAGCCTGGAGCCTGTTTCAGATTCTATGTCTCCCTCTCTCTCTGCCCCTCCCCTGCTTGTGCTCTGTATCGGTCTCAAAAATAAATAAACTATAAAAAAAAATAAAATAAATAGAACATAGTTTTTAAAAAGATGCGAATGAGAGGAGAGGCCCTGAAGTTGGTGTTAACAATAACTTTTCCAGTGGTCTGGAGTGAGGGGTAGAAGATGTAGTGGGGGATTGAGTACGTGTGTTGATTGATGGCAATAACCGAGGGGAGGGAACAATGTGGATGGCGCTGGGGACTGAGAGATGGTTGAACTTGGTGGGAAGGCAAATCAGGTAAGAGTTTAGACTCTGGAATAGATGAGCGAACCTGGGTTCAAATTCTCCTTCGGCAACCTCCAGCTGCATGATCGTGTACACATTTTAAAATTATTCCTTAGGCCAGAAAGATGTTTTTAATTTACAGAGGGGAAACCCCACGCTCAGGTGAGCAGGTGATGTGATGCTCAACCTCATTAGGTGTTAGAGAAAAGAAGCTGGCAAAGATTAGGAGGCTGGGCAACCTCAGGTTTTGGGTGTGTGGGGACCCTCTTGTATTGCTGTAGAGAAGGAACTGGTACAGTGAGCTGGGAGTGCCATTTGGCCATGAGGAAAAGATATGGGAGGATGTGGATTCATAATTTAAAGATATTCTCACATGTGTTCATAGGGGAGTCTGCAGAATGATATTTAGCTCAGCTTTGTTTACAGCGGTGGCTGTTCCTTATTAAGACTCTGGGGGGATTACTGTGTTGAAGCAAATAACTGTTCTGTAGACATATGAATGGTCTGTAAACCCCGAGTGTGCAATGGAAAGATGAATGACTTCAACAGCATTACACACTTGACAACACACTATACATTTTGCAAGACACAAAATAAAGTTTTGCAAAGATGAACGAATTTGCACGGGCCGTGATTTCAGAAATGAGAACCATAGGACAGGGATAAATCACAGAAGAGATCAATTACCTAGATGCACATGTGCATGTGCTAAGCCAGAGGCAATCAATCAATTACTCAGCTCCCAGCGTCCAAGCTTCAACTAGAAAAATACATTTTCTTCCAAGCTTTCCTATTTTTCCTGTTTGAAGTAGTCCATGTTTTCCTATTTGAGTAGGACTAAAACTGTATCTGTTTCTCAGTCTTATGTGAAGGTCAAAAGAGGTGGTGCCTGAAAAGTGAGTCGGGTTACAAAGAAATGTTTGGGCACCCAAATTTCTATTGTTTTTTAAAAATTGTGGGGATGAGCATTGGGTGTTATATGGAAACCAACTTGACAATAAACTATTAAAAAATAAAAGAGAAAAAAATTTGTTTATTCTTGAGAGACAGAGACAGGGCATGACCAGGGAGGGCAGAGTAAGAGAGGGGGACACAGAATCCAAAGCTGTCGGCACAAAGCCCGAACTGTGAGATCATGACCTGAGCTGAGATGGGATGCTTAACCAACTGAGCCACCCAGGTGCCCTTACTTATTTATTTTCTAATGTTTATTTATTTTTAAGAGAGAGAGAGAGTTGGGGGAGGGGCAGAGAGAGAGGAAGCACAAAATCTGAAGCAGGTTCCAGGCTCTGGGCTGACAGCCCAGAGCCCCATGTGGGGCTTGAACCCACAAAGTGTGAAATCATGACCTGAGCCTAAGTTGGACGTTCAACGGACTAAGCCACCCAGGTGCCCCTAGGCACCCAAGTTTTTCTTGCCTTTGGAGTCCCTGAATGATCTAACCCAGTGGTTCTTGACTGGGTGTGATTTTGTCCTCAAGGGACATCCGGCAATGTCTGGAGATTTGCAGGTTGTCACAGCTGGAGGGGTGCTTTGCTGGCGGTATCTGATGGATGAGACCAGGGATGCTGCTGAACCTCCCAGAAGCACAGAGCAGCCCATCCCTACACCAACAATCACCTGGTCCCAAATGTCAAGAGCACCAAGGTTGGGACACCCTGTATGACCTCCTCATGTCCTCAGTCTCAGCTTTCTGCACTCTCGAGTCCAGCCACACCAATCACTTCCTGGTTACATGAAAATGCCGAGCTCTTTGCCTCACTGAGGCTGCACGCTGCACATGCTGCTATTTCTCCACAAATGCTTCTGATCACCAGGTATAATCTCAAATGTCCAAAGAAAGCTCCATGAAACCGTTCTGTTACAGAGACCCATCAGATAGCATTCTGTCTCAACGTCTCAAGAGCAGCCAGGGTGCAACCTTGGGCTGGTGGGAGAAGATAAATGAGCTTCTGTGAGCTTGTGTGCAAGTCATTCTTCTGAGGGGATGGCTCCAGTTTGATGAGCCTCAATTAGGAAAAGCCAGGCTCATGGCGGAAGGGAAGAGAGGGTTCCGTGTCCTCATCACATCCTGTGCCTCTGCTCCAGCCCCCACAGCATCCCTCCTGGGCTACAGAGCTCTGGACGGGCTGAAGGACCATGGCCCCACTGCTGTCTGCCCTTGTCAGTCTTGGTGAGTCCTGAGGGCTGATCTGGGAGACGCTGCAGGGCAGGCAGTGGGCTGTGAGACTGAGGCTGTTTTAAAAATTGGATTGGAGGGGCGCCTGGGTGGCTTGGTCGGTTAAGCGTCCGACTTTTGCTTAGGTCATGATCTCGCGGTTCATGGGTTCGAGCCCCGCATCGGGCTCTATGCTGACTGCCAGCTCAGAGCCTGGAGCCTATTTCAGAGTCTGTGACTCCCTCTCTCTCTGACCCTCCCCTGCTCACGCTGTCTCTCTCTCTCTCTCCTAGAAATAAATTTAAAAAAATATTTTAAATTGGATTGGAAATGAATTTCAGGGCAATTCAGGGGACTGATGAGGGGACTTCATTTGTTGGGTGAGAACACAGGCCCCAGGGAGGTGGTGTGTGTCTGTTGTTCTGTTATATTCTCTGCATGGCTGGTTGGGAATGATACAGCTCTTCCGCTTTGCACTGTAACTCTGTCTCTATATGCCATGTTTTAAAAACTACTTATTTACTTAGTATTTTAAATATGGACTTGGTGACATCAGGACTAGATTCTGTCACCAAACTGTACAGCGCTGGAGGAAATAATCCATTCGCAACATCACGAAGGGACCTTGAGGCCATGGCACTAAGCGAGATGAGCCAGATGCAGAAGAAAACAGTGCATGATCTCACATCTGTGTGGAGCCCCAAAAAGTCTAACTTGCTAAGGCAGAGAGGGTAGACCGGTAGTGGCCGGGGGTTGGGGTGGGAGGAAATGGGGAGATAGATGGACAGAGTACAAATTCCCGGTTATAAGATGAATGAGTTTCTATTTCTCCAGAAGGACATATTGCTAAGAGGACAGACGCTCCAAGGGGCCAAGCAGGAAGGAACAGCTGTGTTATGGGGATAAGAAAACAGGCCATGAACACAAACCGCCCGTCAGTCATTCGTTAACACACACTCATGAAACACTTCCTATGGGCTGAGGATTACTCCGTGTTTCGTTTTTAATGTTTATTTATACATTTATGAGAGAGGAAGAGAGAGTACAAGCTGGGGGAGGGGAGAGGGAGAGAAAGAGAGACAGAGAGAGACAGAGACAGAGAGAGAGAGAGACGGAATCCACAGCAGGCTCCAGGCTCTGAGCTGTTAGCACAAGGCCCTATGCTGGGCTCAAACCCATGAACTGTGAGATCATGACCTGAGCTGAAGTTGGAGGCTTAACCGACTGAGCCACCCAGGCGCCCCTGGATTAATTTTTTAAATCAGCTAGCTTAACAATTATACTAATGTTCATGTATTTCATCTTTATTCTGGTATGTATTATAACTCAGTAATTTTGCTTAGCAGAGAACAGCTACCTTTGCCCTCTCCTGATGTAACTCACTTATACTCTGACTGTGGCTGCTGCTATGAGCTTATGACAGAACCTTAGCACATCTCAGCTGGACTATGCATTAATATTCTGTCTTCCTCATCCACCAGTTTCTCCAATTCTTATTTTTTTAAATCTCTAATTCTTATTAGACACCATGGCAGGCAGATCTTTTCAGTGTGTAGTGCTGATAGATCCTTCTATTTCAGGAGCTTCCTAGTGCTTGCTTAAAGCATAAAATCCTTAGTATCATTCAAAGCCAATGCAGACGGGCCTTTCACTGCTTCCTACATGAAACCAATTGTATATGTATATTTATTTATTATTAAAATTTAAAATTTTTTTGTTTATTTTTGAGAGAGAGAGAGACAGAGACAGGGCATGAGCGGGGGAAAGGCAGAGAGAGAGAGGGAGACACAGAATCGGAAGCAGGTTCCAGGCTCTGAGCTGTCAGCACAGATCCTGATGTGGGGCTTGAACCCATGAATTGTGAGATCATTGCCTGAGCCAAAGTTGGATGCGTCACTGACTGAGCCACCCAGGCACCCCCTTGATTTTGTTCTTGTTTTGTTTTGTTTAACAGACATTCACCTATTCTCCATAGCAGCCTAATTAGGTAGGGGCTATTTTTTTTTTTACAAATAGTTTATTGTCAAATTAGTTTCTACATAACACCCAGTGCTCATCCCCACAAGTGCCCTCCTCCATGCCCATCCCCCCTCCCCCCCACATCCATCAGTCCTCAGTTTTTGTCAGCATTCAAGAGTCTCTCATGGTTTGCCTCTCTCCCTTTCCCCCACCATTTCCGCCCTTCTTCTCCCCCTTGTTCCTCCGTCAAGTTCCTCCTAATCCTCCTATACGTGCAAACATATGCTATTTGTCCTTCTCTGCCTGACTTATTTCGCTCAGCATAACACCCTCAAGGTCCATCCATGTTGCTACACATGGCCAGATTTCATTGTTTCTCATTGCCATGTAGTATTCCATGCAGAGGAGAAAACTGAGGCCCCAAGGGATTAAGGAACTTGTTTAAGGTCACAATCTAGAACTTGAATAAACTAAAGAATTTGGTGCCACGTTCACATTCTTTTTTTTTTAATTTTTAATGGTTTTCCCCCCTATACTTCACCTTATTGTCACAATGCATACACACCTCAGCTTACCAATAGAGAGACAGAGTGAGAACAGGGGAGGGGCAGAGAGAGAGGGAGGCACAGAATCTAAAGCAGTCTCTGGTTCTGAGCTGTTGGCACAGAGCCCGACGTGGGGCTTGAGCTCATGGACTGTGAGATCAAGATCTGAGCCGAAGTTGGACACTTAATCAACTGAGCCACCCAGGGATCCCTACCATGTTCATATTCTCTACCACTAAAATATGCTGCTGGTGTTAGAATCTACCCCCTACCAGCTGCAGGGCAGTGGACAGGATGCTATCTCTATAGGCTGATCTATAAAATGGATCTAATAATGATCCCTGACCATTAGGATTGTGGTGATTCAGATCCATACAGGGAACACTCAGAAGGGCACCTGAAATATCTCCAGTCATGTTAGAAGGTTGCGAGGAAACCCCAGGAGGGGCTGAGATGGGGTTGTGTTTTGGACATAGATGTGGGTAGAACTTGGAGACAGGGAGCAGAACCCGGTGAACAGAGGGTGGGGCTCAGAGGGGCTGGAGACAAGCATGTCACCTCCTGAGCTCTGGAGTCAGGGATGATCCAGGTTCAGCTACTTCCCAGCTGTGCGAGCTGAAAGAAACTGCATCGCCTCTCTGTCCAGCTTCCTTAGGTTTACAATGGAAACCATAACGTCCTCTCCTTCTAGTGTGTGGGCGTGCATGCATGAGTGTATGTGTGCATGTGTGTGTGCAAGGCGAAGAGTTACCAGATAAAACACAGCAAGTCTCAGGGAAATTTAATTTCAGATAAACAACACATAATTTTTTAAGCCTAAGTATATCCTGTGCATTTCATGGGTCATACTATGCAAAAAAAACATATTCGCTATTTTTCTGAAATTCAGATTTAAGCAAGAATTCTATGTTTTTATTTGCTAAATCTGACAACACTGGTGAGACTAAAACAGGTAATGCTAAACTCAGCCAAAGATTAAAGAAGAAAAAAAGAAAAGGAATCTTAGGTTGAGAGAAAAAAGGCAGCTGTTCAACATAGAGAAGATAGGAGGAAAAATGGGGGAAAGGTGACTCCAAGGGAGAAAGAGGAATTCATAATTCATAGATCATGCAGGCTGACAGGTGTGTAACATTACCTGGGGAGGCCACTGGGAACCGTGGAAAGAATCAGACATTAGGGTCAAGGAAAACTATAAGGATGTAACTAAGCCAGGCAAATAGTGACTTGAGGAAAAGTATACAAGATCAACATTACAATCCTTAGGCGTGAATAATATTTGTATAGTCATAATAATGCAATTATATTTAAAAGTTTCTTTATTTATGGGGCGCCTGGGTGGCTTAGTCGGTTAAGCGTCCGACTTTCGCTTAGGTCATGATCTCGCAGTTTGTGGGTTCGAGCCCCGCGTCGGGCTCTGTGCTGACTGCCAGCTCAGAGCCTGGAGCCTGTTTCAGTCCGTGACTCCCTCTCTCTCTGACCCTCCCCTGCTCACGCTGTCTCTCTCTCTCTCTCCTAGAAATAAATAAAACATTTTTTAAAAAGTTTAAAAAAAAGTTTATCTTTAAAAAAAAGTTTATTTATTTATTTTGAGAGAGAGAGAAAGAGAGAGAGAGAGAGGGAAAGAGAACATCCTAAGCAGGCTCTGCTCGGTCACTACAGAGCCTGACACGGGGCTCAAACTCACGAACCGTGAGATCATGACTGAGACAAACTCAAGAATCGGATGCTTAACTGACTGAGCCACCCAGGCGCCCCTCCCTGCCTCGGATATGGGTTTAAACAAGTTAAAACAGTGGGAAATCCATGATTAACACAACCTGAGATCTCTTGACAAGATATAAGGCAAAGGATCCCATTCGGATCTAATGCACAATGTGGTGACAATAGCCAACGATATTGTGTTGCAGAAAATGCTGTGTTCTCACCACAAAAAAAAGAGAAACAGTAACTATGTGACATGATGGAGGTGCTAGCTAACAATGTGGCAGTAATCATTGTGTGATACGTAAATGTATCAAATCAACACACACACCTTAAATGTATACAATGTTATACATCAATTATATCCTGATAAATCTGGGGTGTGGGAAGAGACCCCATCCTGCACACAGCACCCTTTTCAGAGAGAAGGTATTTCTCTTTACAGTTGTTAAAAGTGTGTTCATTGCGAGCAGGGCAAGGAATCTCTGGTTTTTTAAAAACTGTGGTTGGGGCGCCTGGGTGGCTCAGTTGGTTAAGCCTCCGACTTTAGCTCAGGGCATGATCTCGCAGTTCATGAGTTCGAGCCCCGCATCGGGCTCTGTGCTGACAGCTCAGAGCCTGGAGCTGCTTCGGATTCTGTGTGTGTGTCTCTCTCTCTGCCCCTCCTCCACTCATGCAGTCTCTCTCAAAAATAAAACATTAAAAATATAAGAATTGTGGTAAAATGACAAACTTAGTATAAAACTTATCACTGATAACACTTACTACGTTCACAACGTATACAACCATTGCCTCTGGCTTGTTCCCAGACATCGTCAGGACTCCAAAAGGAAACAGTATCCGTGACAATCACCCCTCAATCCCCAGCCCCCTGCCCCCAGCCCTCACTGATCTACTTTCTCTGCCTGAGCAGATTTACCTATTCAGCATGCTTCAGGTTATTCAGCATGCTTCAGGTAACTGGAATACTACAATATGTGACCTTTTATGGCTGGCTTCTTCCGGCACTTAAATTACGTGTGTGTGTGTCTCTCAAAAAAAGAAAAAATGGGGATAAGAGAAAATTAATGCATGCAAATGTCTTATCACCTGCCCTGCAGGTAAAGTGTGGGCTCTTTGAGGTCCTAGCGTTTGGTCCTTTTCTTCTTTGCTCAGGGCTGTGTCTGGGGCATATGGTGCAAACTCAGCAGGGTGAGTCCTTCCCCCCTGGGGAGTCCTGGATCCCTCTGGGTTCAGCCTACACGAGGGTGGGTGGGTGAGGGCCCCCGGGAGGAGGGGTCTGTTTGGAAGGCCCCTCCACCAGGTTCCCCTTCCCTTCCAGGCTCTCTCCCCAAGCCCTCCCTCCATGCCCTGCCTAGCTCCCTAGTGCCGCTGGACAAGCCGGTGACCATCCAATGCCGGGGGCCTCCGGGCGTGGACCTGTACCGCCTGGAGAAGCTGAGGTCTGGGAAGTATGAGGATCAAGCTACCCTTGTCATCTCGGCCATGAAGGAGAGTTTCGCCGGGCAATACCGCTGCTCCTACCAGAAAGGGACCCGCTGGTCTCCTCCCAGCGAACAGCTGGAGCTGATCGCTATTGGTACCTGGAAATGTGGAGGGGGTGGCTGCACCCGTGGCCTCGGGGCTCCAGGAAGGCCAAAAGGGGGATTGTCCCAGGGGTCCTGAATTAGTTAGGATGGGCAAGTAAAGCTGAGCCTTGCCCATGACATTTAGGGGAGGTGCCCAACCCCCACAGTGATCCACATAATAGGTCAGTGCAATGTCTTTCTAAAACAATCAAAACCAATACAAAAACATTCACACTGAACAAAATATGCTCACAGAAGGCGAGCAGGGGAGGGGCAGAGAGAGAGAGAGGGAGACACAGAATCCCAAGCAGGCTCCAGGCTCTGAGCTGTCAGCACAGAGCCTGACATGGGGCTTGAATCCATGAACTGGGGGATCATGACCCGAGACGAAGTCCTACACTTAAACTGACTGAGCCACCCAGGCGCCCCTATCATGCTTTTAAGTAAAGCCAGAACCTGGCAGTGCCCTGTGAAGCTATAGCTGAGCCTGGGGCATAATGAACCGTGTGTACCCCTAGCTACATTCTAATGCACTGGGTTTTTTTTTAAGTTTTTGATGGCATAAAGTGTTTTAAGCTTATGCTTTTATTTCTAAATGCATTTTTAAATGGTTATTTTCCAAATAGATTTTGAAAACACCATTGATGAACTTGCTTCCACTAAAGCCAAGAGAATATGATAATAGTAAATTCTTTGGGGGGGGTGGAGGAGGTACAAATGAAATAAAGTTAAAGTAATCTGTGAGTTTTAATAACTTGAAGTTTTTCTTTTTTGTTGGTTTTTTATTTATTTATTTTAGTGTTTCACTTTTTTTTTTAACAAATAGTTTATTGTCAAATTAGTTTCCACATAACACTCAGTGCTCATCCCCATAAGTGTCCTCCTCCATGCCCATCCCCCCCTCCCCCCCACATCCATCAGTCCTCAGTTTTTGTCAGCATTCAAGAGTCTCTCATGGTTTGCCTCTCTCCCTTTCCCCCTGGGTAGCTCAGTGGGTTAACTTGAAGTTTTTCAATATGTTTTTTCTTTTTTTAAAAAAATTTTTCAGTGTTTTTATTTTTTATTTATTTCTAGGAGAGAGAGACAGAGTGAGCAGGGGAGGGTCAGAGAGAGAGGGAGACACAGAATCTGAAAAAGGCTCCAGGCTCTGAGCTGGCTGAGAGCACAGAGCCGACGCGGGGCTCGAACCCACGAACCGCGAGATCATGACCTAAGCGAAAGTCGGACGCTTAACTGACTAAGCCACCCAAGCGCCCCTCAATGTGTTTTTTCAACTGTGTTAATAGCGTGGACAAAATTAACCACAGAAATACCTAAAAGTGTTTTCAGCCTTTTTTTTTCTGGCTCCGGGAGGCACAATTGCAATCTTTGTTTAAAAATCTTGATATTTTGTTCACTATGAATTATTTGGATTAATTTTGTTTTAAAAATTGCATTGAAATATTATTTGTCTTCATTGCTGAATTTTTTTGTTTTTGCTTTTTTTTTTTTTTCACCCCTTTGCATTTTGTACAGCCTAATCCCTGAGCCTGTGCCATGGTCCATATACCTCATGCAGGGACACCTGCTCTGCCTTTAGGGCTGACTCAAATGCAACCTTCTCATAAGTATATTCCTCATCTTCCTATTTATAATTGCACCCAAGTTTAATTTTTTCATGTTTATTTATTTTTGAGAGAAGGGGAGAGGAAGAGGGAGAAGGAGAGGCAGAGGCAGAGAGAGGGAAAGGCACAGAGAGAGGGAGACACAGAATCTGAAGCAGCTCCAGGCTCTGAGCTGTCAGCACAGAGCCCGACGCAGGGCTCAAACTCACAAACTGCGAGATCATGCACTGAGCTGAAGTCGGATGCTTAACCGACTGAGCCTCCTAGGTGCCCCTCTGCCACTTAGTATCTTTTTTTTTTAATGTTTTTATTTATTTCTAGGAGAGAGACAGCGTGAGCAGGGGAGGGTCAGAGAGAGAGGGAGTCACAGACCCTGAAACAGGCTCCAGGCTCTGAGCTGGCAGTCAGCACAGAGCCCGACGCGGGGCTCGAACCCACGAACCGTGAGATCATGACCTAAGCGAAAGTCGGACGCTTAACCGACTAAGCCACCCAGGCGCCCCTGCCACTTAGTATCTTATGGTTTGGGGCAAGCTATTGAGCACTGTATACCTGAGTTCCATTTTTAAAACCAGGGTATTCACAGTGATGAATTCATATGTTTTTGTGAGCATTTAGTGAGTCAGTGTAAGTCATAAGTCTGCAATGATACCTGGAAGCTGGCATTTTAATACAGGTTTGCAGCCACAGATTGTATTCTGTAATACTAGCTTGCAGTGGGAGATGAGCTAGTTATTTTGTTACTACCGTCATAGTTTGGGAGCTGGCTATCCACTAGGCACTCTGCTAAATGCTTAATATGCAATATTTCATCCAGTCCTTCCCATTTTACAGTAAAGAACACTGAGGCACAGATATAGGGGGAGATTCATCTCCAGGGTCACCCAGTCCCTAGATGACAGCCAGGATTTGTGTCTGGGCACTGTGATGTGACCCTGGTCACAGTCCCTTAAACTTTTGTGAACTGGAAGCAGGGTGAGTGTACTCTCCAGGGTGGATACACCTGGAAAGTTCCCTAGCTCTCAGGAGGTGGAGGGACGTTCCCACCCCTATGGCTGACGGTGGCCACTATCTTTAATACCAGAGCTCTCTTTTTCCCCAGGAGTTTACACCAAGCCCTCACTTTCAGCCCAGCCCGGCCCAGCCGTGTCACCAGGAGGGGATGTCACTCTACAGTGTCGGAGCCAGTATGGTTTTGACCAATTTGCTCTATACAAGGAGGGGGACACAAGGCCCTACAAGGGACCGGAGAGGTGGTACCGGGCCGATTTCCCCATCATCACAGTGACTGCTGCCCACAGCGGGGTCTACCGATGCTACAGCTTTTCCAGCAAGTACCCGTACCTGTGGTCAGCCCCCAGCGACCCCCTCGAGCTTGTGGTCACAGGTGAGTGAGGTGCAGACCCAACCTTTCTTCTGCAGCCCTTGCAGGGTCTGATGGAAGTTCCAGGGGGCGAGACCAACAGGCGCGAAGGAAGTGGGAGGCCAGGCTTTGGAGGGTGTGTTAGTTTCCTATAGCTGTTTTAACAAATCACCTCTAATCCGTTGCCTTAAAATAACAGAGATGTATTTATTTTTAATGTGTATTTATTTCTTCTGAGAGACAGAGAGAGAGAAAGAGAATCCCAAGCTGGATCCACACTGTGAGCGCAGAGCCTAATGCGGAGCTCAAACTCATGAAGTGTGAGACCGTGACCTGAGCCAAAATCAAGAGTCAGACTCTCAAGTGACTAAACTCACCCAGACACCCCCACCACTAACGGTATTATTCCCTTATGCGTCTGGAGATCAGACCCAAATGGGTCTCACTTGGACAAAACAAAGCTGTCAGCTGGGCTGTGTTCCTTCTGGAGGCCCCAGGGCGGAATCTGTCCCGTGCCTTCTCCAGCTGCTAGAGGCACCTGCATCCTTTGGCTCCCAAGGTCCCTTCCTTTATCACGAAAGTGAGCAGCGCAGCATCCTCAGTCTCTCTGTCTCAGACTCCTCTGTCCCTCTCCGCCTCCTGCTTCCACTTTTAAGGACACTGTGATTGCACTGGGCCCACCTGGATAATCAGGACAATCTCTGCACCGCGACATCCTTAAGTGCACCTGCAAAAGTGCCATTTACTATGTCAGGTGCTACTCACAGATTCTGGGGGTTAGGGTGTGAGCATATTTGGGTAGCTGCTATTGTATCTACTACAGAGCATATACACTAGAAAAAGAATTTTTTTTCTTTCATAGTTTTATTGTCAAGTTGGTTTCCATACAACACCCAGTGCTCATCCCCACAAGTGCCCTCCTCCATGCCCATCTCCTCCCCCCACCCCACATCCATCAGTCCTCAGTTTGTTCTCAGCATTCAGGAGTCTCTCATGGTTCCCCCCCCTTCTCCTCCCCCATGGTCTTCCGTTAAGTTCCTCCTAATCCTCCTATACGTGCAAACATATGGTAACTGTCCTCTGCCCGACTTATTCGGCTCAGCACCGCCTCTGGACAACAGTGTGGAGGTTCCTCATCAACCCTATTTGGTTTTTACCATTAAGAGTCTCTTGTGGTTTGTTCCCTCTTCTCTTCCTGCACCCCTTTTCCTTCCAGCTGTGCTGACAGCTCAGAGCCTGGAGCCGCTTCAGATCCTGTGTCTCCCCCTCTCTCTGCCCCTCCCCTGCTCATGCTCTGTCTCTCTCAAAAATAGACATGAAATTTTTTTTTTTTTAAAGTTACTCCTTTGGAGAAGTGTCTGTTCATATCTTCTCCCCATTTCTTCACTGGGTTGTTTGTTTTTCGGGCTTGTAGTTTGGTGAGTTCCTTATAGATTCTGGATATTAACCCTTTATCTGATATGTCATTTGCAACTATCTTTTCCCATTCCGTTGGTTGCCTATTAAATATCATATGTTTGCACGTATAGGAGGATTAGGAGGAACTTGACGGAGGAACAAGGGGGAGAAGAAGGG